TGTGAATGTATAATTAAAAATAAATATGAGAATTAGTGAGTTACGTTTTAAAGAAAAACAAACGGGACCTACTTTGCATTCCCTGTTCGGCCTTTTGGCTCCTGTTATTTGAGATTATAATTTTTTAAATAATATTATTTTGGAGAATTTGTAGTTAAAAAGAAGAATATTTTTTTGATTTATGTATAATATTATTTATTAGAGAACGTGCGGTTAAAAAAAGCAAAAAATGTATTATAAATTAGAATAATGCTTTGTGGTGTACACATAATTTTACCCTCCCCTCACATGGAGGGGACCCACAAATATTTTATTGTGTATGGACTCACTTTATATGAGGGGTGTAAAAGATTGTGTAAAATATTATGTACACATAGCATTATCATAGTATGAATTAAGGAGGGCTGGGCTAAAGATTTTTTAAGACCCAAACACGCTCGAACTCATCGGTGGCGGTGCGCAGGTGAAGTCAGAATTTTTCTCTGCAGTTCTGCGCTTCCTCACTATTCTGTATTCTTCTGCCGCTACTCCTTCGAAAACTGAGAACTCGCGTAAATTTATGAGGTGGTTCATGTCTTTCTCTTAATGCTTAACATTTTTACCAAAAACTGAAACCCTTCAATTCGCTTTTCCAACTCGATGACATTCAGTTTGATGCACAAAACCATTTCATTTCAACAATTCTCTTTAACTCAATTTGGTGTTTGGTTTTGGTGTTTTTTTGCTTGAATTTCATTGTTTTTTTTTGGTGCAGAAAATGGCAAGTTTAGTGGAGAGGCTCCGGGATCGATCGGATCGAAAAACCTTTTACAGAATAGATGAATCTGATGAGGATGCTGATTTTTTACCAAAGAAATCTGGCCCTTCACAGGAGAAAATTGAGAGAATTGTTAGACCTGACGGGGTAATTGCATATATTTTTCCTTTTCAGCTCAGTGGCCTTTACCAATTTCTTTCATTTATTACATTTTGCTCTCTGTGAAAACTAACTCATTAGTTGTCATTCAAGTGCGTTCTATGCTATTTCTTCTGGGTACTGATGCTCATTGCCTGACGCATTTCTAGTAATTTTAAAGGGAAAATTTTCTTTGGGTTTTTGGATGAATCCCATTAGGAAAGTGTCCAGCTAGAAAAGACAATTTTTGCTGTTTAAGGAAAAATGATAATTTTCCATTTTAACAGTTAATACTTATTACACGTTTACTGTGAGTTGAGCCAACACTTGCTGGATGCCAGCGGCGGCACTGACATGTAACTCCTTAGTTGTCAATGCATGTTTAAAAACAGACGGTTCTGATTTTTGTGGCCAGACACATTTCTAGTAATTGTGAAAGGAAAATTTTCCGCATTGGGGTTTTTTTTGGATGACTCACTTTAGGAAATTGTTCCACGAGCAAAGACAATAATGCCGTTTGAGGAAAACGATATTTTTACATGTTATTAGTTAATAGATGCGAAACTGTTGCTGGCAGTTAAGCCAACTCTTGGAGGATGGCATTGGCGGCCCTGATGCACGTGGTGGGCGAGTTAATGCAAGTGTTTTTCAATGGAGGAAAGTGATCTCTTTTTCTAGATGAGTAAAATTTCTAACTGAAGTACTCCAAGCATTAACCCTGTGGATGCTCTATTATGATACTTGGACTCAGGTACGGGTACACGTACGTATCTAAGTATTAGATTTTTTATTTTCTAGATGTTGGGACATGGCTTAAAAAAGTCCAAATTTCGGACACAGATGTGTGGGTACGTCTTTCAAACTTCAATTTTTTTACTAATCCAGGATGTCCTTTTGTATTGACCAAAATTAATTATTTACAATGAATATTTTACTAATCCAGTATATCATTTTGAATATACCAAAATTAATTATTCACAATGAAGGAAATGAGTATTTAATAAGGGGTTAAGACGAATAAAATAGAATTTTGGGGTTTAGTTTTCAATAATGAGAATTAGTAAATGTTATATAAAATAGAAAATGAGGAACTTTATTGTAATTTGGACTTAGTGGAACACTGAGTAACACTATATGAAACCAATTTTCATTTTATACAAACAAAACCCTAAACCACCTATATAGAAAGAGAGAAGGAAAAAAAAAAAGAAGAAGAAAATGGAAAGAATGAAGAAAGAAAGAAGAAGAAAAAGAAAGGAAAACCTAACGTTGCCTTCTTTTTCCCTCCTTTCGGCGACGATACTAGGTTTATAGAGAGGAAAAGTGGGAAAGAAGAAAAGAGAAAGAAAAGAAAAAGAAAACAAAAGAAGAAAAAGAAGGAAGAAGAAGCAAAAATTTCTAAGTGTCCGGTTGAAATTTGGAGGATTCAACACATATCCCATACCCATATTGTGTCGCGTTCGCACGAGTACTCTAACTATTTCGAAGAGCCGAGCATCATAGATGCTTTAGGCTGGCTATGATGGAGAGGCTATCGTCCATAGATTGGTGGATCGAAGACGATGAAACTTGCTTGAAGTAGCGGCACTGACAAGTAACTCCTTAGTTGTCAACGTGTTTTATAAAAGCAGACGGTTCTGATTGTCGTGGCCGGACACATTTTCTAGTAATTTTGAAAGGAAAATTTTCCTTGTTGGGGGTTTTTTTTTGGATGACTCACTTTAGGAAATTGTTCTGCGAGCAAGGACAATTATGCTGTTTGAGGAACAATTCTAGTAATTGTGAAAGGAAAATTTTCCTTGTTGGGGGGGTTTTATTTGGATGACTCACTTTAGGAAATTGTTCTGCGAGCAAAGACAATTGTGCTGTTTGAGGAAAAATGATATTTTTCCATGTGATTAGTTAATACACGCGAAAAACTGTTGCTGGCAGTTAAGCCAACTCTTGGAGGATGGCATTGGTGGCACTGAGCACATGGTGGGTGAATTAATGCTAGTGTTTTTTTTTTTAATGGAGGAAAGTGATCTCTTTTTCTATATGAGTAAAATTTCTAACTGAAGCACTCCAAGTGTTAACCCTGTGGATGCTCTAGGCTGGCTACAATGGAGAGGCTATTGTCCATAGATTGGTGGATCAAAGATGATGAAACTTGCTTGAAGTACTTTGTGCTGAAAAATGATGGGCAATTGGGTAACTCATAATCTGAAGATCAGATTTTATGCTTGTCTTCTTAAAAAAAAATTGACACATGCATATGCTTATAAAATCCTTTTAAGGCCTTTACTTTTTCCCCCCTCTTATTATACTGTTATAAAAATTTTACATTTTTATAATCTCAAATTCGTAATGGGTCTTAATACTCCATGCATGGGAGCTTGTCTCGCTCCAGATGAGATTTAGTTTTGGTGGCAGAATTGAAAGCTAATGTCCTCTTCCAAGCTTTATTTCGCATCTTTAAAACGTTGGAGTTCATGAGGAGATTCTGCAAGCGACTTTCATGTTTCCTATCTTACTAGGTTCAAATATTTGTATCATATTCTAGGCATGTCTGAACGTTTGGTGATGTTACTGGAAATCGTCACTTAACAACTGTGGATTTATATAAGTGAAAATTTGTATACACCTCTCTCTATGCATGCACATGAACACAGTATAATCTTTTGTTATCCTTTTGAATTTGCCAATTTTTTGAAATGAATTGTCTATGATATTTATCATCTTATTTCACCCTATTAATAGAAGGATGGTTCATGTCAAGCCTGTGGGAGAGATGACAATCTTTTGAGCTGTGAAACATGTTCTTATGCCTACCATCCCAAGTGTTTACTCCCACCACTGAAAGCTCTTTTTCCTAATGACTGGAGATGCCCTGAATGTGTATGCTCCTATAATTCTCCTAGTATATATCTAGATGGAAACAGTGATAATGTGTTTGCTCATCTTGATTTATAATATATGTTCACAGGTTAGCCCTCTTAATGATATTGAAAAAATACTCGACTGTGAGAGGCGTCCTACAGCTGCAGAGGATGGTGATGCTTCCAAATTGGGCTCCAAGCAAGTTTTTGTGAAACAATATCTAGTGAAATGGAAGGGCTTGTCCTACCTCCACTGCACATGGTAGTTTATTCATTATCATTTTTCTTGGATATATTTTCTGAAGAAGTGGTTCTCTTTTTATTTGAAGGCATTTTAGTTTTACTCCTGTTGTTTTTTTGGCTCATTGGGAACAGCCAACTTTTTGGAATTTAATATTGATTGCATTTTAGTTTCTTTTTTGTAATTATAGAACTTTTGATAGTATGCTTTATATAATTTAAATATCAAAAAAAAATTTCAAAAGTCAATTTGATTTTAATGTAGATATGTAGCATTATTGTCGTTACAATATTGAGATTGAGGGAGGGACTGATTGTTTCATTTTACAAGTTTAAAGTTTGTCGCTCTTATTCTTGATATTGATGTTGATAATTTGTAAGCTTTGTCTTTGACATCTTTAAAACTCTAACGCACCAGTATTGGTTTCCTTAATAATGTTGCAGGGTGCCAGAGAAGGAATTCCTTAAGGCATACAAGACAAATCCCCGTTTAAAAACAAAAGTTAACAACTTTAACCGTCAATTTTCCTCCTTAAATAATTCTGAGGATGAACATGTTGCAATACGCCTGGAGTGGACCACTGTTGATCGAATCCTCGCTTGCAGGTATAACTTAACTGTTTGATAATCAGATATTTTTTCCTGAGTAGATTTTGAAATATTTTAACTTCAGACGATATAACATATATTTTTCCATTTACGATCATTAAGTTGGTTAAGTCATTGGTCACTGCCAAGAATCTGAATAATTTGAAACATTTAGTTGTTTCTCTGAAGTTTTTATTTCGGGTTTAGGCTGACCTTCGTTTACCCAGGAGGGGTAAATTCTAGTATTGAACTGGAAAGTTATTTTCTTAAACATGTTCAGTGGTATATGCTTGTGGTGGCATAGGAGATGTGCATCTGATTTATTTATTTAATTATTTTTTAATACCACCAGTGTCCTTATATCATTAATCTTTTCTTCCGAGTTATTTTTTTCCGGGAGAATTGGTGTGTGTGATGGTTCATTGGACAGGAATAGGAAGTTTAAATGTGAAAGAGTTATTGAGGAAACTGTAGACTCTAATGTGCAGGCAGATTAGTTTTTCTTAATGTTTGGTAAATATAGTGTAGCTAATTAACAGACATGGATTTATTAAAGTTTTCTTTTGATGTTTTTTGATTTTAGCTGCTTAGGCATAATAGTTGTCTTGTAGCTTATAATTGAGCTGTACTCTTTCAAAGGACAATTATTCATTTGCCTTGTTCCCATGCATTTTAGTTTTAAAACAATGAAATAGGTGATACTGCTTTGATTAGCACAAAGTGATTCGTGCACCATTATGTCGGGCTGACATATCATTTTTCATTTTCTTTATCCATTTTAGCAGCTCCTTGCGTTTATCTTTTATCTTCTTGGTTCATAAATCTGCTTTTAATTTTTTTTTGTAATAATAAGTTATTAATTTTGATCTACTGGTGAGTGTTTAATATTGCGGTACTTGACAGAGGAGTGGAAGGGGAAAAAGAATATCTTGTGAAGTGGAAGGAGCTTGCATATGATGAATGCTACTGGGAGTTGGAGTCAGACATTGCATCCTTCGAGAAAGAGATTGATAAATTTAAGAAAATTCAGTCTCGATCTGATAAAATAGCTAATGCAAAGCAGAAGAGCAGCCTCAATGATGCTACAGAGTCAAAGAAGAAACTGAAAGAGTTTCAACAATATGACCGCAGCCCTGATTTTCTTTCTGGAGGTACGCATGCTTTTTGTTAATGTGGATATTTATTGAGTTAGTATAAATGATCTTATTAATAATTTGGTTCAAATGAAGGTTCATTGCATCCATATCAGCTCGAAGGGTTGAACTTCCTACGTTTTGCTTGGTCCAAACAAACTCACGTTATACTTGCAGATGAGATGGGACTTGGTAGGCTATCTAGTACCTTTTACAATCTTTTTCCTCCTTACTCCTTCCTCCCATCCCTTAGTCTCACTTTGAGGCCAAGTTTTTGTATCTCAAATGATATCAGTCTTTTCGATAAATGTTTGTGATTGCAGGCAAAACAATACAAAGTATTGCCTTTTTGGCATCCCTGTTTGAGGAAAGTATCTCTCCTCATCTTGTAGTTGCTCCACTTTCAACTTTGAGGAACTGGGAACGTGAATTTTCCATTTGGGCTCCTCAAATGAATGTTGTAAGTATGTAGGGCGGTTAAGATAATTTAAACATTAGCTCATAAGTGTACTCAGCGAGAGTTAACTGCTGCAGGTGATGTATGTTGGCTCTGCCCAAGCTCGTGGTATGATCAGGGAATATGAATTCTACTATCCTAAAAATCAGAAAAAGAGTAAGAAGAAGAAATCCAGTCAAGCTGTTAACGACAGCAAACAAGATAGAATAAAATTTGATGTCCTCCTGACATCATATGAAATGATTAATATGGATTCAGCATCACTGAAACCTATCAAGTGGGAGTGCATGGTAACAATCTATATCCCCTCTATGGGTTTGTGTGTGTATGTGTGCATTGTATGCCTCCTGAGAAGTTATGCTGACATCTATATATAGATAGTTGATGAAGGCCATCGTCTTAAGAACAAGGATTCGAAGTTGTTTTCTTCGTTGAAGCAGTACTCTACCAGACACCGTGTACTCTTGACTGGAACTCCACTTCAGGTTTGTTGAAATCTGGGGCAAGGCCTCAGTTTTCTGTTGTTTTCCATTTAGATTGCAATTAATTGGAATGTCGTCGAGTGAAGAAAAACTATTGACTCTAACAGAGGCACATTATTATTGCTTGCAATGACCGACATTTCACTGTTACAATTGTAGTGAGATTTTTTTTTTTTTTTTCAATACCCTTGGGAAAGAATTTTTTTTCCCAATTTCGTGTTTCAGTTTTGTCATGCCTCAGGATCAGCTTACATGAACTAAGAATGTTTCTGGACTGGCCTTACGGTGAGAAACAGTTATTCACAGCCTATTGATTCAGGATTAATAATAAAGATTTTTGTTGTCTAGATGTAAGGGGTTTTGAAGTGGTTTGATCTAAAGTTCTAGCCTAAAGTTCACAAGGCTGGGTACCCTTTTGAACTGCAAAAGTTCTTATATACCAATAGAGCATCTTCAAGAGGCTCTTTAGAAGTGAAATGTTTTAAAGAGTCAAACCTTAAAATTATGTTCCAAGAGATTCTTCAAATTAACATGTTAAAATAGAGTGGGTTTGACTCTCCAAATTGAAGAGCCAATCCCACTCTCTATAATTAAATGCATTCAAGTTATTTCAATTTTCAATGCTTCATTTATTAATCCCGTATATACAAAGAAAATGAAGAAAATAATATAATAATATGGAGGGAAGTTGGTGAAAATAAATGATAAGGAAAGATAATAAATATATATTAGGAGTAGTAAAATTAAGTGTTAAAAGATAAAGAGGCTATTGGAGTATTTAAAATTTTTTACTCTCTAAATTCATAGATGCTATCTAATTTGTAAAATATGCTCTATAAGAATAGAGAGTCTTGGAGATGCTCTTAGCTACTTTGAACGGTATTCGTCAATCAAAATGGGGTACAGCGTTGTGAATGAAATTTACATGAGAGTTAGGTAGTCTTTCTTGCTACCTATAGTGTTCATTGTTTATGAAATTGAATTACATTACTGGAAGTTTGTTAATTATAACCTCCAACAGAGCTCAAATAAAAAATACAAAGTGGTTTAATTATTTGTACTTATTCTTTTTAATTTGATAGAATCAGTTATTGTCTGATACAAGTGACAAGTCGATTGTAAAGCTTCCTTTGATGTTGCTTTTCAGTAACAACCTTATTCAGATCCATTTTTTTTCCCATTACGATGGGTTAAATCCTTGATTCACTGCTCTTTTCTATTACCCATCCAGCTGTACTACTGTAGCATATTGTATCCTATCGCTAGCGAAATTTTGATGATCAATGATGACTTTAATTTTATTTTTCTCCTAGAGGACTTCCCTATCCATGTTATTTTGGTATAACCTTTCATGGAAGTTCCTTTTAGTGCACACAGCTGACTACGTATACTAATTTTTCACCTTCAATTTTGTTCTTTACTGATCAACAACCTCTGTTTTATTCATTTCAGAACAATCTGGATGAACTTTTCATGCTTATGCATTTCCTTGATGCTGGAAAGGTCAGTCCTTTGCAACTATTTATATGCTACTATATGTAAAACGTCTTTGAAATAAAACAAGTAAGAGCTGGCTGCCAATTTTGGCAATATATTCAGGTGATGACAGTCCTTAGTTTTTTTATATATCCTTTGCAGTTTGCAAGTTTAGAGGAATTCCAGGAGGAGTTCAAGGATATCAATCAAGAGGAACAGATATCCAGACTTCATAAAATGTTGGCGCCTCATCTCCTTAGAAGTATGAATCTGAAATCGTGCTTTAGACTGCGCAGTTCAAATTTTTTGAGTGGTGACATTTTATCTTTTATCATTTGGATTTTAGTTGTCACTTCAGTTGGTGAGCATGAGTCATGAAGCATTTACACTATGCTGTACTTTAAGAGAATAATATTTTAATTAAGTAAGAGAACCTTTTCGCACCAAAGCTTATGATTGGAATTTGAAATGCATTATGCAATTTGTAAATTTTGTGGTTGATCACACTCCATCATTCAAGTTCTGCTCTATTTGAATTCCTGTCCGGACATGATAATCAAGCCGAAACTCTAAAAGCACAGCTTTTGTGCTGGAAGAATGTAATAATCATTTATTTTCTCATCCTGATTGTAACTCACTGTCTATTAAGCCTACCTACTCCTTGACCTCATCTCCCGTCCAAGATCCTGTCCGCTTGCAGTTAATTCTCTTCCGTCGATGCTCTACTTCTTGATCTATGTCCCCAACATTTCCTGGCCATGTGCCCCATCTGCACTAGCAATTAATTCTCTGATTCCAAAACATCCACCTTTCTTCAGCTTACTGCTCTACGCAATCTCTCTAGTATGATTTGTTCTGTTGGTTAGGTTGCACCCACGAAGCTAGTTGCTCTTAGACAATTGCGTGACTGTTATATTGCCTACTTCTACGTTGAATATATTAGCTGCTGGAGCCGGATGTACTGTTAGATTGTCCTTGTCTACTGAGACTCTTGATGAACTGTAGACATCTAAGCTTATGTTAGATGTCCGAAGCTTATGATATTTTTCATGGCTTAAAAAGGTGAATTGAGACTAGACTCTATTTGAGGCGCTCAAAAATCGCTCGGAAGTGTGAACATCCATTGGGTTTAATGAGGCTTACGCGTGTATTCACTAAGGCATAAGCCTCAATGCGCATGTCTCAAACAATGAGAGGCATGCACGGCTCTTTAATCACCTGTGCCCCACTTTTTATTTAAACCTAACAAATTTCATTGTCCAGCTTTGGAAATCCACTAATTTCTTTAATAATTTATTAATCAGCCATAAATCAGCTTTGGAACTGTGGAATTCCACTGTATATTAGAAGATACCTTATTTCTTTGATTGTTTATTAATCATCCGTAAATAAAATAAAATTAGAAGTCCAAATACTAACTAAAACACAACACACGATATTGATTTATTTTTGTATTTTGTTTGAATTGCGACTTTATTGATTTATTTTGTGTTTGTTTGCATTAATACTTTTAACTTGTTCTATTGTTTTGGAAACTTTAAAGCTTGTTTGCGGTTTATTACATGCTTATATATATATATATTTTTTGACTTTCTTTTTTGGTTCACGGTGAGGCTTACTCCTTGCCTCACAAAGAAAAAAACGCTTTAGTATCCGATTTTACCTTTTTAAACACTCTTATAGGCTGAAGACAAGATTTAAATTATATGTATATGACCCTTTATCAGTTTAAGTTTTTAGATCAAGTGGTTCAACATTATTCTTGATATTTTCTTACTGTATTAGTCACTTTGAATGTGCATAAAGAGTATGGTTGAAGACTGAATTTTCCCTTTGAATTGCAGGATTGAAGAAGGACGTTATGAAAGAACTACCTCCTAAAAAGGAACTTATCCTGCGTGTCGAATTAAGTAGCAAACAGAAAGAATATTACAAAGCAATTTTGACTCGTAACTATCAGATACTGACTCGCAAAGGTGGTGCCCAGGTGAGTCACCAATAATTGTCATGTAATTTCCTTTTATATAATTATACTACTGTGTAACCTTACTATGTAGAAACATGCAACATGGTCTACTTTCTTCATTCCTAGATTTCTCTCATAAATGTGGTCATGGAACTGCGCAAGCTCTGTTGTCACCCCTTTATGCTGGAAGGTGTTGAGCCCGAAGATGCAAATGAGTTTAACAAGTAATGTTATGCATTTGACTTTGAACTTCTGTTCTTTCTTATCCATGGACTAAAAGTTGATTAGATGTCTATTTAAAACTATGAACCTTTGTGGTAATTAATAGGATGATTGGCAAAGTAATGTGCAGAACCTTGAGTTTTATTCTGATAAAGCTGATATTAATATGGACAGTTTTGCCTTCCGTGTCACTATAATAATCAAAGTATTCTTGATCATTTGTTTGACAGACAACTGTTGGACTCCTCGGGAAAATTGCAACTGTTAGATAAGATGATGGTCAAACTTAAAGAGCAAGGCCACAGAGTTCTGATATATTCACAATTTCAGCATATGTTGGACTTATTAGAAGACTACTGTAACCATAAGGTACAGAGAAATGTATTTGCTTTATTAGAAATGGATATCAGAAAATTTTAGCTGATGTTCTGTTTGTTATATTTGTCAGAAATGGCAATATGAGAGGATTGATGGAAAAGTTGGTGGATCAGAAAGACAAATTCGAATAGATAGGTTTAATGCAAAGAATTCATCCAGATTCTGTTTTCTGCTGTCAACTAGAGCTGGGGGTTTAGGAATAAACCTTGCCACTGCTGACACAGTAATTATCTATGACAGGTAAAAAAATGTATAATTTAGGATTTAGGCCTTCTTGTCTTCTTATCAGTAATTCTTGAGTTCTTTATTCTTTATTGAGAAAAAAGTGTACAAATGCAGAAATTTCTGCGTTTTCCCTTAGGATTTTTCCATGCATGATATCTGTGTGAGAGGGTTTGCGAACTCTTAAAAAGGGTATGTGGAATCGTCAATTGTGACGACCAAAATAGTGCTTTTGAATGATGTTCAATGCGCACCTCAATGAAGTTAATGTGTCAATTATTATTCTCTAACGCGTGCATGGTTATGTGTGTTGTTTGTCATCTTATCTGTCCAATTACCATTCTTTCTGCAGTGATTGGAATCCCCACGCTGATTTACAGGCTATGGCCAGAGCTCATCGACTTGGGCAGACGAATAAGGTTAAACATCCCCTCAATAATTGGAGAGAAGACTCTTCGAATTGGCTGCTTGGTTAGTGTGGTCTTATTCCTTTGTTTCGTGCAGGTAATGATTTTCAGACTTGTAACACGAGGAACCATTGAAGAACGGATGATGCAGTTGACTAAGAAGAAAATGGTTTTGGAACACCTCGTTGTTGGGAGGCTCAAGGCACAAAACATTAATCAGGTATAGATATTTCAGGCTGAAGGTAACAGCACTTTTTATTCATCTATCTATGGAAAATTATGGTAGAAGAGAACATTTCTTCAGAACAATTATCTCGTCATCCTGACTTTTAACAATCTGTGCCTAATTGCTATACTTGTCATGTCTTGCAATGTTATTGTTCTCTCTAAAGGCATTTTATTGATTATTTGTGTCCATAAGCGAATGTGTTGGGTTTTAGCCATAGAACTTTTAGTGTGGAGTATCCCACTTTGTCTCTTTGATGTTAATTCAAAATAAAATTTCTGTAAGTCCCTTTCTGTTGTGCATGAAGTAAATATTACCTGATCGCTAATAGCTTCCTTTATTGCTGAAATGTTCTGATATTAATGCAGGAAGAACTGGATGACATCATAAGGTATGGCTCAAAGGAGTTATTTGCTGATGATAATGACGAGTCAGGAAAATCCCGACAAATTCACTATGATGATACTGCAATTGATAGGTAAATTATTTTCCTTCTCTAATATCCAATTTGATTGTATTCAAATATTTCTTTACTAAATTTTCATGTTAGATTACTTAACCGAGATCAAGTTGGAGATGAGGAGGCTACATTGGACGATGAAGAAGAGGATGGATTTTTGAAGGCCTTCAAGGTTTATAATTTTCTAGACATCATGCGTAATTTGGAGTGCTGAATTTCTATGCATTTGATTTTTTTATTGATGGGGGTTAATTTACTTACCAAATAAAGGTGTTGTCTTTCTTTTGTCATCCTTGTATATTTAGGTGAAATTTCATCTTCCATTTCGTTTCCCATTTACTTTACCTAGTAGATAACTGGTTATGGTTTGGTTCTAGATTTCGGAATCTTGCTATCAGATAAAAAATAATGGATACAACAGATGATATTTCAGTTTACTTCCCATTGAGAAAAAATATCTCATTCATTTACTTGCTGCTAAGCCTAGATTTCATGCTCATATTCAAATCTCACTATAAACATACTTGCATACAAAAAAAATAAAAATTAGTTGTATTTGGTTAAGAATTAAAAATTAGTTGTATTTTCCTAGAGTTTAAAATTACTTGAAATTCAACTACATGGTTCATCATATATGTTTGATTTTTAATTAAATTATATAAAAATATTTAAGCACATTAGCAGAAAATTAGAAATATGAGCAAATAATCATAGATTATATGGATCTATTGGCATAAATGAATAAATATGTCCATTATCCAAGATCTCACTGGCATCACTGACATCACCTTCTTACTAGCCCCTGCGTTATGCTAATTATTCTACTTTAACGACCGAAGATTAGATATCCTGTATTATTCTTAAATTCTTTGGGACATCTTATCCTCTGTTTACGCACCAATTTTCTTCTACTAATGATACTTTGTTCATCAAAACAAGCCCGTGAGCGCCCTAACAGTTCAACTAGGTCATTGCCTTCTAGCCACTGTTTTGACCTTTGGTTCTTGTATGTAATGGTCAAGGTGGCCTAGTTATGCCACTTTCTGGATCTAGTCCTGATTAAGTCTCCTGGCTTATTGATCTGTTCTAATATGAGAATGCATTTCTGCTTCAAATTCTTTACCATGGATTCAACATCTGACCACAAATTGTTCTATAATTTTACTCTTGGTGCGAATACAAATGAAAATGTAATAGCTGGCAAGCAGTGGGACCTTTTTAGTTCATAAATTTATTCTTTTGCTCCTTCATGCTTGAAACAGACGAATGAATTTGTATCAAAGACAACATTTCCTATAATCATTCGACCGGTTTACATTTTTTATTTTGTGCTTCTGCTCGAGGTTTTCTTATCTTCAATGATAAAGACTTATAATAACTGAGAACTGAAGTAAGCGCATTCTGTTTTTTTCATTTGGGTGCCCAAAATGTTTGCTTGTACAGAGATTCTTCCCATTTGCTTTCAGTTTTTTAATGACTTTTGCAGAGACCTGCCCTTGATTTCTATTTAGATACCAAACCATGGGCTTTTACACTTGTATCTTTTGATGGTTTCATCTAATCAATACACAATCAACTTCTGTCTCTCACACTAGTAGTAGCGGACCATTATGAATCCTATTTACGGAAAATGCAGTCAGTTCTTCGCTGCATCCATTTGGATTTTTTAACACCCCATAAACCATTTTCATTAGTGACCCATGGATCTTTTAATAATTTTAAGAAGTTGTTTTGTATGTGTTGATTATGGGATCCTAATTTTTCTGGAAAGAAGCTCAGCTGAAGTGAATTCCTCAGGTAGCAAATTTTGAGTATGTTGATGAAGCTGAAGTGGCAGCAGAAGAGGAAGCATCCGTTGCACCAACGGAGAGTAAAGTCTCAACAAACAATTCTGAGAAAGCAAACTACTGGGAGGAATTGTTACGAGACAAATATGAAGTGCAGAAAGTTGAAGAATTTAATGCTATGGGCAAGGGAAAGAGAAGCCGTAAACAGGTATTGTTTTCCTGAGATCTTTATTATTGGTTACTTGAGTTCCTTATCTTGATGGAATATTTAATTTGAAGGTTGAAGTAGCTTATTTTCCAATATGCTTTTTCTTGGAGAGCTTTATTATTGTCATAATTACAGGGATAATATTCTTCTTAAATAGAAGTCTCTGGTTCATGTATTGTCTTTTACCATTTCAAATCGATCATAGAGCTTATGGAGTGAAAGGTGACTTCAGAAATTCAGAAATGCTGCCAATTTGAATTCCTTGTTAAAATTAATTTATAAACAGTAGTAAGTTGAGGATCTGCGTGGTACATGATCATTTGAAGACTCTGCGAATATTGAAGACTTAACGAGAACTCAGAGATATTTATAGGCTGGAAAATTAGGATTAAACATTTATTTAGATTCTGAACTTTTAGTACTACAAGTGCTAGCTTTTAAGCCGCAAGAGGTTTGTAGGAGCATAATTATCAATTTAGGAAAGCAGGTGGGCTTGTCTATGGGCTATGAAACTAAAAGATGACCTGTGGTTAAGGAGAAGAGAATCAAGGGTGAGGAAGAAGTTAGGAAATTTACCTGGCGTGGGTGAAAGAGCTCAGTTCCTGACAAAAAAAGGATTGCGGTTAGCGAGAGAGTTTGTAGATCTTTGTGTAGGGCTATAGTTCCACAATTATGGAGTTGAGAAGCTCAGGGGATATTTTGATTTTTTGATCTTGTGAAATGTACTTTACGAGGGAGGACTGTTGGCTCCATATGAAGACTGAATAACACAAGTTACAACTTGATCAAACTAAACCATGGACCATAACCTTACAAGTTTGATCAGTGCTCTAAATTTTCACGTCAAAGATTAAATCAGAATTGATCTAAAGGAAAAGAAAGGCTTCATTTTGGGAATACTGGCAACCCCACTTGACGCATGCCACACTGAGTTCTTCTCTAGCTGCCATGAAATTTTCTACTCAGAAATAAAATTCCATCTCAACGTCTCTGTGAGCGAGCATGCATGTTTTGCTCTAGTCTTTAAAGAAGGCTTTTATTCATGGAAATTGAACTTGATGGGTTGATTAAATTCTTCTTTTGGTGAACTTGAGACTTTTCAAGTTCCAGTGTCACTTTTCCTCGATCCTGATTATTATTCCAAGTATTGAGTGTCTCGATGCACTAATTATATTTTCTGTGTTTCATGAGAACTTTGGTGCACTGTAAAAGATGAGAAATACTTGAAAACTGAACTCAACATGAATTTCCAGATTAGGTTTTCTGTCATGGGTGTTTGCTCTCTTACTGTTCATCTATTTATTTCATATCGATGTACATGCTATATACAGATGGTATCTGTTGAAGAAGATGACCTTGCTGGTATGGAAGATGCAAGTTCTGATGCGGAAGATGATAACTATGAAGCTGAGTTGACTGATGGCGAGACAGCTTCAACTGGAGCTGCAGCTGTGAGAAAACCTTACAGAAAGAGATTCCGTGGTACAGTTCAACAGACTGTTATCTATTTTGTGGATTAATTAGATGGATTTCATAGTGACATCTAACTATTGCCTCATTTCCTCAATTTTTATCAGCGGACACTTCTGAACCACTTCCTTTGATGGAAGGTGAAGGGAAATCCTTTAGAGTACTTGGGTTTAATCAAAATCAAAGGGCTACATTTGTCCAAAATATGATGAGGTTGCATTTCTTGTTATTTTCATTACATTATGTTTCAATATCTTTTCTGTTTCATTATCCTTCTCATCTGTTCCTCTCTCTCTCTCTCTCTTTAACACACACTCCTATCATATATGAATGTATGTATGTATCTGTGTATATCTATGTTAATAAATCTAAAAGAACTCAATTGTTTTACAGGTTTGGGGTTGGGGAATATGACTGGGCAGAGTTCGTACCACGTCTAAAGCAGAAGAGTTATGAAGAGATCAGAGAGTATGTGGTCTTATTCCTCTATACTATGCTACTTTTCACTTATATGCCAAAGCAATTGGCGAGGGAATTTGATGCAACACAGTATATAGAAAGAGGATGATATACCATGCTGCATCATAATGTCTTTGCTAGAGTATTTAAACTGGCGTAGGCATCGTGGGCTCGTATTCTTTTTGACATGGCTCACATGCTTAAGCAGCAGCTAGCTACTGCGTGTGTTTGTTCTTTATTAAGTGAAGAGTCCAATACGTCATACATCTCTGATATGCTGTGTTATTTCTGTTTGCTGGTTGTTCGTGTATAAATATTTATGTGCACACTCAAAATTGGGTGTCTGATTACTCTAGTTTTGTTATCTGACAAACTTGATGTGGCTGAAATATGTACTCTGTTAGTCTAGTTGATATATTCTTCTTTTTGTTTACTTCTTTTTATACACTATGTAATAATAGCAGGCCTCTCCTTTTGTTCTGTTTTGAGATTGGCTTGCACATTAAATTGATTTCACGATCAACCAAAAAATATAGGCTAACTAATTTTGCATTATTTTTTCTTATTTTGCAGCAAGTTCAACCTTCTATTTTCATCTTGAATCTAATATATATATATTTTTATAGGTAATCAAATAATTTTATTAACCAAAGAAGAATATATAGGAAGGGTATTATCAACTTAAACAATAAAGAAAATATATGAAGTTAGGCAGCTCTATAGGATTACTAGTTGCGGTATTAAACCAACTATACAAAGTCAAATAAAAGAATTTTTTAAGTTGCCTTGTGGTCCGTGTTTGGTCTTCAAAATATCGGTTGTTCCTTTCTCTCCACACACACACACCATATAATGCATCCCGGGGTAAGATTCCAAACAAGCTTGTTATACTTATCATGAAACTTTCTCCTCCATGCCCGCAACACGTCCTCTATACATTTACGCAACACCCAATCTATATGTTGAGAAGCTAGAATATCAACACGTCCTCTATACATTTAGGCGACACCCAATCTATATGTTGAGAAGTTAGAATATTATTCCACAGTCAACGAACACCGTCACAGTGAATGAACAAGTGGTCATGCGTCTCCTCATCACTTCTACTCATATAGCACCACTCGGTTACATAGAAGCCTTTTTTTCGGAGGTTATCTATCGTTAATACCTGTCATTTGACAACCGTCCACAGTAAAAATGCCACCCGTGGAGGAAATTTACATTGTCACACCATTTTTCAGGGGAATAAACTCTCCACAGGTCCCAAAAGGGATCTAAAAGAAGAGTGAACAGAAAAAACACAATTCCGTGCCAACCTCCATCGGCTACGATCTTCCTTTCCAACCTGAATTTTCACATCATACAAATGGGTTAAAAACAGTGTATAATCATCCAATTCTCAATCTTGCAAACCCTTCTGAAAGGTAATATTCCAACAGTAACTTCCATTGTGGATGGCTAAAACGTCCTTCACCATAGCAAATGACACCATAGTTATGCGATACAAGGAAGGAAACTCCACCTTCAGCTGTATATCTCCACACCAACAGTCATCCCAAAAACTGATATTATTACCATTTCCCACCACTAAAGTCAATCTGTCCCCAAGGTCGCTCCAACCTCGTCGAATATACCTCCACAAGCTCACCCCCATGAGACCCACGACCCTCACTTGAACACCAACCCCCCTCCATCACTCCATACTGCGCCCCAGTGATTTCTCTCCAGAAGCTCTCCCTCTCCATACCAAATCGCCACAACCACTTGCCCATCAATNAGAAGCTCTCCCTCTCCACTCCAAACCGCCACAGCCATTTACTCAATAATGCCTTGTTAAACAAAATGAGTCTCCTCAATCTGTGGCCCCCCATCCTCATAGGAGAGCAAACAGCATCCCAATTGACCAAATGAAGTTTCTCTCATTTTCCAACTCTGCCCATAGAAATTCCCTTTGAACCCTCTCTAATCTATTTGCCACTGCAAAAGAAATCGGAAACAGTGACAAAAAATAAGTAGGGATATTTGATAGAGTAGACTTAACGAGAATAAGACGATCTTCCTTCGAGAGATACATACGCTTCCACCCCGCTAACCTCTTTTTCACCTTTTCTACGATAGTGTTCCAAATATTAATACTTTTAAACCGCGTCCCTAAGGGGAGTCCTAGATATGACATAGGTAATTGCGTCACCCAACAACCCAAAATAACAACTAGTTCCTCTCTTGAATCTAATATAAAGAAAAAAGAATCTAATCTCCACTATTTCTGGACTTCACTTTTGGAACATGTCATATGATAGCATGTCAAAGGAAGTCTGAATAATCCATGCATATCTTCTTAGACCTTGAAATTGAGTCTTCAGTGTAATGCACATCCTCCATATGTGTCCTTGAGCTCGCTTGGATTAGTGACCTTGCAAGAGCAGACTTTGAAGGGACAAGCATGTCTAACATCAACTTTTTGTTCTCACTAAAAGTCTTGAATTATACCTGCCAATTGTTTCTTGTGTGTAGATGAGCATACATACGGTTTACTTCAACAGTTAAACAGTACTTTGTGCTGAACAACAAAAAATATTTTTTCAGTTATGGGAGGCTTTTCTTGTCACACATAGCTGAAGACATAACCGACTCACCAACATTTTCAGGTTATTATTACTTCTAATTCTCAAGTTTACCCTGTAAATTTGTGTTCTGATTTTTTATGTATCGTCTTGGTTAAAGCAAGGTTAACAATTGAATAGTTTCCTGGTGGCAGATGGTGTTCCCAAAGAGGGACTGAGAATACAGGATGTGCTTGTTAGGATAGCAATCTTAATGCTTATCAGGGACAAAGTAAGCTCTATGTCTTGAGAGTAAATCACAACTATAATATTTCATAATTGCAAATAGAATTTTGAAGATTTTGTGCTGTGTGATGACTCTGGAATCATGGTTATTTCTTTAGTCTTGCTATCAGTGAATGTGAAATTGAAATTGACGCATCCTTTTTGTTGCTAATACATGCTACTAGGTTGGAGGCATGCCTAGCCTATTTTGTTCTTCAAATAAAAATCTTTTCAGTGCTGTTATCATCCTATAGCTAGAGTTTATGTTTAAACAAGAGACTAGTAGAATTTTTTACTTCTCTGGATGCATTGTGAAAAGATTCTAAATACCGTGCATCGATATGGCTTCTTGGAAAGGAAAAGAAGTTAATGAAGTGTTTAAGCAAAACCATTTACAAAATCTGCGTCACCACCATTTTTAAGATGCAAAACTATCAAGAAATTTGTATTTTCATTTTATGTTCTCCATTCCCTTCCCTATCATTTCTGAATGTGGCATGTCCAGATGTCCTGCTATTCTATTTTCTAGAATAAAATTTCGAAGGATTCTATGCTCTTGCATAATAATTGCTCCTGCCATGAATCTGCAACTTTTAAACAGCGGAGCCATTAGATTACTATATGGAAAAGTGCTATATTTGGAAGTGTATATTCCTGTTCCTGTTTATGCAGAGTTTTATGGATATCTTGGCAGTCGGAGTATTGATGGTTTATAACTTTTTTGTCATAGAGAGAATAATGTGCGTGTGTTAATAGCTCATCTTAAATCGTTTGATTTCGATGGTGTTCAATTCAATATTTAAAGACCACCCTGGCATGTTGACAGGTGAAGTCTTCACAAGAGGTAGGTTCGGCCCTTTTTGCGGATGACCTTGTATCTCGTTTCCCTGGAATGAAAATTGGAAAACTTTGGAAGGAGGAGCATGACCGGATTCTTCTTCGAGCAGTATTGAAGTATGCTTTTCTTTTCTTTCTTCCTGTTAAATTAAAATTTCACTTTTTTTCATAGAGCAGTTCTGGCAACTAAATTTTCATAATAACAAGATTAAAGTTTATAACAAAATGGTATAGATAGATGATCCAGAAATGTTTACAAAAGGATTTTAATGAAATATCAAATAGACATTAAAAAAAAATGATTTGAAGAATTGAAATATGCCAGAGCAAGAAAAAATAAATACCCTTGTGATATGATTTGTTGCTACATCGATTGTTAGGTCCTATTGAATAAAAATAATGATGAATACTTAATATTACTTATTGCCAAGAATTTATTTCGATCATTCTTCTGGTAATATTTATCTGTTGACCTTCAAACCAGGTAGTTGAAATGAAATTTGATCGAACAAACAAGTCACTCTATAAATTTTCTCAGGTTCTATTTGCATTGTTATAATATTACTTTTATTTTGTTGGACATCAAGACATGGTTATGGAAGATGGCAAGCAATTGTTGATGACAAGGAATTGAGAATCCAGGAAGTGATTTGTCAAGTACTGAACCTTCCCTTTATAAACTTACCTGCCCCTGGGGATCTTCAAGCCCAAATTAATGCCTCAGGAGCTCCACAAATGCAATCTTCTTCAGCGATTCCTCAAACACAGGTTTCTGCATCAGGAGTTTCTCAAGCACAAGATCCTTCTCCAGGATTCTTTCAAGCACAAAACGTTGTGAAAACGGCACAAGCTGGAACATCTGGAAATCAGGTGAAAGGAACAAATGGTGAGAACGATCAGGGGGCAGATGTTGCACAGGGAATAACTAATTCTGCAACCCAATCACAACCTGTCCAAGATCATTCTGTACTATACAGTTTCAGAGAGATGCAGAGGAGACAGGTTGAGTTTATTAAGAAAAGGGTGCTGCTTTTGGAAAAAGTACTTAATGCAGAATACCAGAAAGAATATTTTGTAAGTTCTCACCAGTTAATAGCATAGATGAAAAACTTACCTGTTTCAAATTTACTCAGATGTGAATTTAATTTTTTCCGTCATCAACAGATAATAGTACATGAGATTAGCTCTCTCTATAACCTCTAGTAGAAAGGGTGGGACAAAGGTTTTTCAGTTAGTAATTAGGTCACTTTCGATATACATCTCAATGCATGAAAAGATGATTAGTTAGGCAGAAGTTTGTCAGAATATTAGCTGTATCTAATTAATTAAGATTTTAATCTTTTCAAAGTTGCAAATCATTATTACTTGGTTATTCTGTTATCTAAATGAATATACTCTTCAGGGTGACAGGATACCAAGCGAGATGCCAAATGATGAGACTGGACACAATGTTACACATGTAACAAATCCTAGTTTTGTGGAATCAGATGACCAAATGATTGACCATTTGCCTGGAGCTGAAATTATTTGTAAGTGTAGCCATTTATCCGTAGAATATCAGTAATTCAGCACAGATTGATTGGTATTATTTGAGAGAAGGACATGATGTATTTATTCCTAATTTTTTTGTCTGCATGGTGTACCGTGGAAGATGGGGTTCATGGTGGATTTTGAAGGATATATTATTTTGACATTGGAATATGGTTTTATGACCCATGGTGGCTCGTTCTCATGACTTATGTATATAGGGCTCACTACTCGGGGTTTATGCAAATTTCTGATATGCAATTAGACAGTAAAGACTGTGACATGTAATTATTTTTTTCTAATGCAGTTCCAGATGAAGTGTCGAAAGTTGCTTGTGACAGCAAATCAGACCGCTTGGGTATGGTTCGGCTCTACAATGAGGTAAAATTTATATATTTCAAATCTTATTGATGGGTATATGCATCATTATTAGCATGTTTTCTTAAGAAAATTTATCCAACAAAATCACCATATACTACCCACCGATGTGTTTAGATACTGTTGTGCTTTTCATTTGCTCGCAGATGTGCAAGGTACTTACAGAAAATGCCCAAGATTCAGTAGCAGCACATATAGCTAACAAACCGGCAAGCTTGAATTTGAGAAGAAATCTTGCTCCACTAGAAGCATTTAATCAAGAGATAAACCATATACTTTCAACAGCATCTACAGAAGATGAGAAGGCGAAAGTTGAAATACCAAGTTCCTCGTGCATTCCCCGAGCAGATGATTTTGTTCATGGAGTTGAGGCAGATACTGGGACGAAGCTATCGGCTATGGATGTAGACCTTCCAACACAGAGTAATCTGACAGAACTGGCTTGTGATGTTCGTGATGCAGAACCATCTGCGGCTGAGATTGGAAGTCCTTTGGATTTATCAAGTGGAATTGCAGATGTAGAAATGGAGGCGAAGGACGATGATAATCCTAATCTTAAGACCAATGTTGGGATTGATGGAAGCACATAGAAAGGCATTGTTTTGGATGATTCAATCATACGCAGAATTGCTGAGATATATCCGAAGCATGTGGAATGAAGGGAAATAGAACAATATAGTAGTTAAGAATTGCTGCAACTTACAGAACATGGAAACAATGTAGATGACTTGGGGGGCAGATTCTTGGTTATTTAGTGTGAATTGAATTGTTAAACTAAAAACTGGCTCTTTTTCCTCCCCTAAAAGAATAGAAAATAATGTTATTAGTTATTTTGACTCCCAGTTTCTTCAGTTCGATTCTGACCTTTGTCTTTTCCTTGTTAAAGTATGGACCTGTTTTTAAAACATTGGTTAATACTTGTGAAACAGTGTTTGCTTGCTTGAAGATGAGAAGGAAAAGATGAATATTTGAAATTATCTTTTGAATATGGATATGCGGAATGATCACATTTTAAAATTATGCAATGTATTGTGAACTTGGATGATGGTGTCCTCTTTTTCTTTTTCTTTTGGGAAAAATGACAAGTTTAAAAGGTTTGGAATGTGCTCAAATTTGTTGTCTTGGATTGATGTGTACCCGTTTGGTACACATTCTTTTAAAATTCATTTTCAACCACACATTTTTCAATAAAATAATATTTTTCATCATATCAATAATTTTTTCTTATTTTTTTTATCGCATATTACTCATCGTATCACTATTTAAAATACATTATTTTTCTCAATAGTATCCATCAAACACTAATTTTGAAGGGTCAAATTTTTAATTTTTTTATGTGATGACGAGACACCTGAACCAAGGCAGCACATTTGGCATGAACTCGTTAAGAACAAAATAAAACGAAAATTCCAGTGATGAAATTGAATTAAACTAAAGTTGAGTGACTATAAACGAATTTTTTGCACTTCACCGACGTCAAAACCCGTGGTGCTTAGAGCCGTTGACAATTTGGCTCCACCAAAACCAATTTAGAGTGCTACAAGCCTGTAACTATATTTTCGGGTACAAAAGTAGTGAAATTATTTACTTCCATTTTCCCTCTGATCCACACACCTCACCTGCTTTACTTTAGAATCGGACTTGAAATATTACGAACAACAATTCGAAAACACAAAAACATATAATGGATCCTGCTATATCTTGGGACTCCTTGCGAAAACAGGTATGTAATTGTAGACATGCTAATCTTTTGGTGTTGAAGAATAGATTACGGTTTTTGTTTATCTGTATTGTTTCCTGATACATATATTGGATGAATTTTGGATCTATTGATCTTTATTGTTCTAGGTTATAAACTAAGATTGCGAGTTGAATCGGGTTGACGATTGGTATTCATAAGATACATTTTCATGGAAAAATGTTTTATAGAACTATCATTTTATCAAGAGGAACAAAATGTTATAATCCAGAACTTTTTGGTGCGAAATTGCTGATGTTATATCTCCTTTTCTTGAAATTCGGTGATGTGTAGGAGCCATCTTCTGATTTGTTGTGAACAAGTTTTTTGTTAGAAAATTGTGAATTTTTTTGAGATGAAGTCGTTTGTTATATATGTGTATTGTATAGCATTGATCTTCCATGATTATGGTGAAAATTGCTGTTTGCTCAGAGTACATTGCCTTTTCAATGTTTCTTTCAAACTGAATTGCCTTCACCTTCTGCCATTCTAACAATTCATCCTTTGTGAGCTGGTGGTACAATTTATAATGAGACAAGGTTGTGTTGTGCTCTAACCCAAGAAAACATGAGTTTATTAACAGAAAGTGTAAAAAATGAGTGAAATGTCACTTATTTGAGATAGTCTCACTTCATTCTCCCTTTTTCCATCAAATTTTTGCGTACACGCTTATGTGGATTATATATACACTATATTTGGAATGCGATTTGGGTCTCATGATTAGGTAAACTACTTACAGCTTCTTGACTCATTTCTGTAGGGGAGTCTCCTCTACTCTTAAGGATCTAAAATCTTTATCTCAAGTCATAAGGAATCATCTTCCTTCTGCAGCAATTTTTTTGAATAATTATCTTGATATAGGATTCTACAATTTTTCCTGTTTCTTTGTCTTCTCTTTGACAATTTTTCCCCTAAGTTTTTCCTTTTTTTGGTGTAAATCTGAATAGGCAAGGAAACTCGAAGCACAACTGGATGAACAGATGCATTTATATCGTAAATTTGTATCAAAAAAAGTTGATAATACTAATGATAATGATTTGGAATCCGGAATTGAGCACCTTCTCAAACAGCTTCAACAAGTAAATTTGCAAATGCAAGCTTGGGTTTCATCTGGAGGATCTGAAATTTTTTCTCATACATTGACTAGACATCAGGAAATTCTTCATGATCTTTCTCAGGTATGCAATAGTTTGACAACTTGGTGATGCAAATAATTTGGAATTGGACATTCTGATAACACCATGCTTCTTGTTCCAATAAAACTTGGTATTGAATATGATGATGGAAGTCTTTATATGGGGAATTTCTATAATGATGTGGCTAAATCTGTCTGATTGCTGACCTTCTGGTGCAAATTACACTGGAGGTGATTCTGATGTGTCTATTATCTGTATGAATTTTTTAACTTTACTGTATAAGACTGCCACTGAAATCCTTAATAAATGATAAGTATTATTTAGTTACCTGGGGTAGGGAATACTAAGGTTACCTGGGAGTATTGTGAACTGCTACGACGCTCAAATGTTGTATAGTAGTGCTTTGAAACCAGTGATGGTGGGAGGGTCCCACTAAATTTAGTTTTTTTTTTTTTTTTCACATTTTTTTAGCAGAACTATTTTTCACAATTTGTTTTTGCCTGCGAAATGGAATCTGAAGTAATTCTTTACCAAGCTCCAAAATAAACTTAAAAATAGAACCTCATGGGCCCCACCCAGCATTTAAAAGGACAAAATTGGGTACTAAGGCGTTTTTTCATTGTGAGGCGAGACTTAAGCCTCAACATGAACCAAAAAATTATTCAAAAAAATACTCAAATAAGCATATAATAAACCATAAACAAACTTTTAAATTCCCAAAATAGTAGAACAATATGATGCACTGACATGGACACATCGATGCACAATTTTTCAAAAAAGTATTGACACGACACATCGTCTACACGTTGATTAAACTCTTTAAAATTCATTTATATAGTATAAATTTAGAACTTGTTAGAGTATTAAAGCAAACAAGACTCTTGTCTGGACTTTTAGTTTAAAAAGGCAAAAATTAGAGAGATCGACTTCAATGACATCCACAGATAGATGATTTAAACTTTAATGGGGATTAACGAAAATCTGTTGAAACTTCAAACAAGCTTGAATGTGATCCTAATGATGTTTCTTGGAATTTGACTAACTTTTTAAGATGAATGTTCTAGCACAAGTCAACTAACCTAATCTATTGAAAGACTTATCAAAAAACCGTTCATCTAATTAGTGCATGCATGGGTTCCTGCATGTTTTCCATCTAACAATAAGTAAAAATGAAGAAAGGGTGAAGGTGAGATAGAAAAGTGGATCATCAAGAAGAAGAAACGATAGCAAAAAAAAAAAGAAAAGAAAAAAAGGGGAGAGAGAGAAGAAACAAAAGCCGTTCTCATAATTTACGTGTTTTGAGTGTTGTGTTTGTGTTTGGACTTATAATTTAGAATGCTATCTAACACCAGTAGTGTTGAGCAATAGAATGGCAACATGTGACATTAAATGATATGTCTAATTAAATGTTAAAGCTATGGGGCTCATTTAATTGAAACTACCATTTAATACCACCTAAATTAGTATTTAGCACCACTGATGCTAATTAATATTACTTTGTAATATATATTTTTTATTCTTTTATTTGTTATGGCTGGTTAATAAATAAGCATAAAAATTAAGTAGGTTTCCAAGGTGGTCAAACCTTGGAAATTAAGTTTGTTACTAAATTAGTAGTACTTCTAAAGTCCACGTCTTCCCCACACTACGAGTGAAAGGGAAAATGTAAAGACTACCATTAAAGCAGCCCAAGCGAAACTTACTATATCCATGTGAGTTATGTCCCCTATCTCTATAAATATGAAGGAATTATTCCATTATTCCTTACTAATAATAGTGGAATCAATGGTGCAGAGTCAAAAAGGGATTCGGACCGAACACTATTGAGAAACCAATCCAATAAATGATTCTTTTTTGAATCGTGAAAGATTAAACGCAAGCAAAATACGTAGCAACATCTCAAGGGAATGGGAACATGTAGGAATAATAAGGCCTATTCTTTTTTTGTTTTTGTTGAACCTCGTAAGTAAAAACATAAAGGGGGAAATCTCTTAAAATGGCTCCACCGAGTTGAATAAAGAAGAGCGCACATGTCTCATTGTTCGAGGCTGCGCATTGAGGATTACACCTCAATCAATACAAGCATAAGCTTTATTGTGTTACTGTTCTTTTGGGAAAAAAAAATTGTAGTTAAATTATGCCTTTGAAATCGGTTCCGTGGCAGACTATTTGTAACCACGTGACTTCTGTATTATACCACATGGTACAAAACTGGAAACATGAAGAAAGAAAGACACGGATGTGGTGTCAAATGCAACTATAAGACTCTCTTTTCTATTATTATAGTTGTCTATTTGTGCTTACAACATGAAGACGCTTTCAGTTTTGTATATTTGTTATTATATTACCTTCTGTTAAGAGTTTCCTTTGCCTCGTGTTCTTCTGATAATCTGATTGCATGATTCTTTTAGATTTATTTTAAATTAAGAAGATATGGCTGAGGCTGATGTTGATCAAATATATCATTCGGTTTGTAGGAATTTAATCGGCTTCACTCTAGTCAAAGAGCGAAGAAAGAGCATGCTTCTTTGCTTGAGGATTTTAGGGAGTTTGATCGGACAAGATTAGACCTGGAAGATGGTGGTGGTTCCCATGATCATGCTCTCCTCAAGGAGCGTGCTACCCTCAATAGAAGTACAGGACAGGTAATTGAGACTAATCTGGCATTTTAAGGACGGACTATGAACTGGTAAAGTTGAATTACTACGTTTTTCCT